TCCAGTTTTGTATATGTGTTCAACTGCTTCTTGTTTATAGCTCTTTCATCGATCGTGTCGGGCACTGCTAGATTTATCAGCTTGCTGAAAACCAGTCAAATCTGAGGGAAAAATCCCAGAAATCAGCACCAAAACAGCATGATACTTCGCTTTCCTCTCTCATTCCCTCCCTTTCTTTGAAAATTAGTATGTGCAATGGTTAAAAAAAAAAAAAAATCCGTTCTTTTCGGTCATTTCCATTCCGTTTCAAATCGTAAAATTACCATATGATTAAGCCATCTTGCACTTTGGTATACAGATCGCCACCATCGGTTTTTACGGGCACAAGATCCTTTAAATCACTGTCATTAATCAAACTGCTGTTGATCCAGTTGGAAAAAGCGACTTCTTCCTGCAAAAACCAAGCTTGTAATAGAACCAGTTGAGACAAGGCCACGGTAAGGGTTCAGATGTGGGGTTTCTTGGGAATTATGGAAAAAAAAAAAACGAACCTCCACTCGGATTGTGTGCACAATTTCCTCATTGCTTTGCTCGGATAAGCCTTTTACCGTATAAGCACCAGTCACAGAGCCAATCTGCTCCTTCCATCTTTTCACTTCCTGATCTCTCTCGGCACGTAATTCGGTGAACAAGTCTTGGAATTCACTGAATGTCAAATGGGTCCCGCAACCAAAGCGTTTCATGAGGTCTCGAAACTGCAAAAAACAACTGAGTTTGGCAAGCACACAAAGCACTCAGTACAATATTGTACTGCGTGACCGAGTCGCAGTCTGACCAGGTGTAGTTATGCTGCTGCGACAGGTGCATACAGGTAACCTAACGAACGACAATAATAGCTGTTCCCAGTTCCACAATGCGTTAGTCTTTCCTCCTTCTTATCTTCTCTTCATCCCATTCTCACCCTCTCTAATTCCACAATCATAGTTTTTCCCTTTCTTTCCTTCCTTTCTCTTCCTTTTCCATTAAGTACTACGACCGTCATACTAACGAGGTTCTGTCGTGGTGTTAAGAA